CTGCAAAGTACACATTGATTAATATGTAAAACAAAGACAAATCTACAAGAGGAGGATTACATCATCCTTTGGAATGAGTTATACAAAATTCTTATATACTTCCCAGTAGCAAAAAAATACTTGCAAACTGGGAGAGGATATCATTAGTCTAATATTCAGCAAATAATTACAAAGGAAGTTAAGAATCAGTGTACGAAAAAAAAAAAAAAAAATTACAAACTAACAGGTAAAACTGAGCAAAATCTTAAAATCTTCCACTTGAGAGATATTAGGCTGGTCTCCAAAATACAAAAAATGGATGGATTTAACACAAGCACAAAAATATTCATATGCAAGAAATATCTATGGATACACATCCAAGAAAAGCAATTGTCATTGACCATGCTGTTGCTTCTGGTGTGATATCATAGTCTTCTACGGTTCCATCTCACTAAAAAGTGTGTTTGACCTTTTGAGACCGGGAGAGCAGGCATACATGTCAGGTCCACTCTGATGCTATTATCAATTTTGTTTACATTTATGTGGCTCAACACTTGTTTTGTAAGCATAAAGTCAAATACTGATTTCACCAATTTACCTTCATGTCAAAAATAATAACAATCATGTTTGTAAAAATAACAAGAATGTTGCAAGTGTTTACAATTTATACTTCCTTGGAAAATTCAAGGAAGAATGGGGTTAATGGGTAAGTATTTGAGTCCTTGGTGGCTATGCATTTGTGAAGCCACATCAAAACAATACTAACTACCCAGGCAAAAAGGGTAGCAAAATCTTAAAATCTTCCACTTGAGAGATATTAGGCTGGTCTCCAAAATACAAAAAATGGATGGATTTAACACAAGCGTCCGCATGAGAAATAAGTAGGAAAAGAATGTTTGTGGGTCCTCCAGCACTAAGTGGCATCCCTCACCCCCTGCCAGCCCTCATCTCCCAGTGCCTGCCGACTGCCCTGGGTAATAACGCAACACTACATCTTGACCTTGGACCTCTAATAGTCATCGGGCTCTTATGTAACCTCTACTTAGGCCAATATTTTCTTTACCATTACCTACTATTTTCATAAGAGAAAGCAAGTTTTCTTAAGATTTGAACCTGCTGAGAATATACCCACCTGTGAGGGTTGCATTGTACCTCCTCGTGTACCAAGACGAGGTTAATGTTCATAACCTTTTGTCTTAATAGGTGTCAACAATATCAGCTCTGGTAAGGTTGGCAAGACTACACTTCATATCTTATAATTAGTAGATTTCCCCGAGATAGCACACTAACAGGCATTTGCTTAGAGATATGTGATTATTTCCATTTGACTTGCCCTGTCAGCTAGACTCCCCCCCCCCCCCCCTCTCCTCTCTCTCTCTCTCTCTCTCTCTCTCTCTCTCTCTCTCTCTCTCTCTCTCTCTCTCTCTCTCTCTCTCTCTCTCTCTCTCTCTCTCTCTCTCTCTCTCTCTTTTGTACATATGCTATTATCTAACATCTTTTCCTGAGTTGAATCCCTCAAACTGTCCTCTTTCCAATGAACAAATCATATGAATCTGTCTCCTATACAATTTTTAAAACTTATCAAGTATTTTGAAGGCACAACTGTTTTTCCCTGCATCAATGCATAATTGAAATAAATATACATTAGCAATTATTTGGTTCCCTTGAGAAGTTTACATCCTTCTATACACAAACTTTCAGAAGAAAACTAGGGCCAAGTAAAAAATCAAAATCAATAAATAAACAAACAAATAATCAAATAATCTAAAATATTAGTAATTGAAGCAAAATAAGCAATAACCAGGTCATACTTTCATCCATGAAGCAATGCCAGTTGACACTTACCACTATCATTTCAAAAGAGTCGAGCTACTTGAATATCCACTAGAAATCATTAAAAAATCCCCCAAGTTTGTCGGGTTGCAAGAATCTCTGTCTTTAACTTGACAGAACTGACTGCTAAAACTCTCTTTAAATCCGCTGATAAGTGTGACAACAAAAAAGGAAAACTGTGAGGAAAAAACTCAATCTCTAGAGCTGATTATAAAAATAAAGAGATAATGGATCTGAAATCGTCCTGGAAGGTAAAATCCTAGAGGGTTTCGGATACGGGATCCTTCACCTAATCCGCTTTCTGCAAAGGGGGTTTCCTGTCATCTGATCAACACAGTAACGGGGTTTTGTAATCAGCAGCAAAAACTGAATGTCCAAAGTGACAGGCAATGAATCAGGGAAATGAGGTGAAGGTGAGCAAGAAAAAGAAAAAATGGAAGAGACAGAGGAAGAAGAAAAAGAAGAAAGAAGAAAACCAAAGAGAAGCAAGCCATCTGAAACTTTATCAGGAGCTACATGCTTAAGCAATAGGAAGGAGGGAGGAGGAGGAGGAGGAGGAGGAGGAGGAGGAGGAAGAGGAATAGAAAGAGGAAGAAGAAGAAGAAGAAGAAAAAGAAGAAGAAGGAGAAGAGAAGGAGGGAGGAGGAGGAGGAGGAGGAGGAGGAGGAGGAGGAGGAGAGGAGAAGAG